TGTCCCTCATTAGCACCTAAGGGAATCTTCTATGTAAAAAATTGATTCACATGAAATTTTGTATCTATTCATTCTTTTGGAAAAAAATAAATCATAATTTTATTCAATTTCATTAAAGCTAAGAAGCATGATTACAAATAAAGTCAGTAAGTTTTGCGGAGGTAAATATTTGAGTTACTATCGATCACGATAAGTGAGAACTCAATGACTCGTCCTCTCACATTTTAACCTCTTACTAGTTTATAAAGAATAAAAACAAATATTATGAGAAAGAAATAAGTATGAAAAACAAGCATTTTCAAAAATCGATAATATTTACTCACATTTTTTTTTTCGTGGAAAATTTGCATATTTCCTCAAAAAGTGTCGTCGTGACTCGTAACATTTTTTTGATGTGTAAATTGTATTTTTTTTATAAAACAGTAAAATTAAAGACCGTGAGAAAATTTTCAAGAGAAGGAAAAATGCAACAGAACCGGTACTATTCAAGCTTACATCTCATTTTTTCAAATAGTATCAAGTTTTATTCTTAAATATTATTAAACACATTTATAAAATTACTAATTAAAATAGTGAATAAAAAAAACACTAGTATTTCAGAGATGAAAAAGAAAAAAGATAGATATTTTTATTTGTTTTCTATTAACTATAAATAAATTATAATGTCTCTGTTCTTATATTCTTAATGATGCTGAGTTAATCATATAACTTGGAGCCTCAGAGTTCGCCTACCTCAGTCATTAGTAACCTCAGGATTAACTTGGCATCATTTAGGATATAAAAGAACGATAGAGTTTCCTCGTTGTTTTTTATACACGATTTTTTCCTTACAATAATTTTTATTTTAGCTTACTGGTTGATCTGTTTTACTCATAGCTTACTAATCTGCAGAACGGTCGTACTGAGAGAAGTACTGAGAAAAACTCTAAGACAAAAAATACACTACGAAAAAAAAACTAGAAGAGGTAGTCGAATTCAATGGGAAACATGCTTGGAACAATTATCGATTGGTTGATTTTACAAGCAGATTTTTTTTTATGTAACTCTTTTTTTTACAAATAAACAGAGATTTTATGGCACAATCAAGAGCACTTTGGTTTTTTACATTTAGCGCTCGATAGAGTGAAAAAAAAACAAAAGAATAAATTTGCTTACCTCTTATCTCAGCTACACAGCTGTAGAGCGATTGATTCGAAACGAGGTTGTTGTGTGAGTTAGCAGAAAGGTGTGACATCACATCGATGTCCTTCTGTCTGTCCTTCCTTCTTCCGCGCTTCCATCAGTTGTCTAATAACGAATCGGTCGTCATTTATGTGCGGGAGAAGGTGGTGGGGGTTGTTGAGAGGGTTGAGTGGCTCTGTTGTCCTCTCGTCGGCGTGACAGTCAGTCAGTCAGTCACTCGGTCGCTCGGTCGTTCGGTTGGTCGGTCGGTCGGTCGGTCGGTCGCTCGTTCGCTCACATTTGACACGCTCATTTGCACTTGATGAAAAGATTTGATAAGACGATAAAATACAGGTTGTCTGACTGATACACGATGACAGTCGTTAGTTAAGTAAAAAAAGAAGACGTATGAAACGACGAGAACTACGGTTACTTCCTCATACATAAAATCTACAGTAATTTTTAATTACAAAGCTTACTATTAGATCATAGAACCAGACATAGAAAAAAAAGCAACTACAGTACAAATTATGATTTATAGAAAGCGTGAGAGTCGGTATAGTTTTGAAGTTATGAATTTTGTTTTTATTCACCTCATGAGGTCGCCTTTGTATAGTTTCCAAATGATTTCATTCTCTGCTAGTTAATATCATAATAACATAAACAAAATACTGATTTCGTGGAAGAGGTTAGTCATTCACAAGTAAAGAGGTCGCGTACTATAATGGTAGAAGGAGCCGCTTGTGTAATGCAG